TCTGAACAGTGCCCAGAGCACAGTCCAGTACGTAGTAGGTACTTACTTGGTCAACATGTGTTGGGGGAACAAGCCTCTTGGGGGCTCTAAAGGCAGAGCCAGGATGCGACGGGAGCTGCTCCACCCCCTGAACGAACCCTCCTTCTCAGCACTTCTCCCCTCTGAGAGCCACCCTGACACCTGAAGGTCGCTGGCCACATCACAGGTGTCTCCACTCACTCAGCCCTTGGTCTGACCCCGGAGGCGGAACCCACCTGTCCTCCCTCCCACGGTGCAAGATGCCCCGCTCCCACACTGCTGCCTCTCATTCCAACCTTCCTGTGTGGTGACTCCCTGGTGGGGCCTGGGTGTCTCCCTCCCCACCCCACCTCCCGTTGTCTCTGGTGATGCCCACGTTTCTAGCCTCTCCCAGCATGGTAGCTGCCCCATCAGTCCGACCACTCACTGCTGGAGTGTCGCCCACTACACCACCGCAGACCTGGTCACGCTGGTCTAGGCTCCCGCTACCCAAACTCAGCCCCAACCCCTCATCCACTGGTGGCTGGAGCAGGAGCCTCCATGAAAGCTGAGGTCACTCCATCGCTGGCCACCGAGCAGGAGGTATGGCTACGAGCCCCTGCCTAAGGCAGTAGCCACTGAGATCACCATCCTTTCTGCCAGGTGGGGAAAACTGAGCCCCGTACGTAGCCGTCAAGGGGCACTGGTGGTGCAGTAGGCTGTGTGCTGGGCTGCTCACCGCAAGGTCAGTAGTTCAAAACCACCAGCTGCTCCTTGGGAGAGAGATGGGGCCTTCTACTCCCATAAAGCATTCGTCTTGCAAACCCACAGGCAGTTCTACCCTGTCCTATAGGGTAACTGTGAGTTGGCAAGTTGAGTTGTTGACTACGTGGTCTTCAGTTGACCCAGGGAGCTGGATACATGTCACAGCTACAACCTCTCCGCATAAATATCATCCATCCATCCTGCTCCCGAGGCGAGGCAGTGAGGGAGTGGAGCTAGAGGAGGATCATCCCAGGGGAGGGCAGGTGCTCCTGTGGAACCCCAAGCCTGCCACGGCAGATCCACAGAACTGTCCTTGATGCTCCCCCATGTCAAGGCCAAGTACCATATGGCCCCACCTCAACAACCTGGCAAAGGGGGGGCAGCTGACAACATGAGGCCTGGGGAACAGCTTCCTGGTGGGCAGGGTTTCTGTGGAGGGGTACAAACCTGGTACCCAAAGCCCTGCTTTGGATACATTTCCCTGGGGGGAGGGTGGTGGAATGAGCAGGACAGAGGAGGGGCTGGGGAAGGAGAGTGGCATCCAGCACATCCCAGGTGGTAGCTCAGTGGTTCTGCTACTGGGCCGTCTCTGTGCTGGGCTGCTGGAGCCAGAATTGACTTGAGGGCAATGTCTGGTTTCTGGTTGGTACCTGGCACTGAGAAGACTCAGGTCAGGCACCTGATCTAAGGGTCACAGGCCAGAGACAGGGGTGCTGTCACACATGGCCGCCCTGCTTCCACCCCTAAATTGAGAGAGATTAAGATTTCTCAACAGATGGGGCAAGCTATTCCAGGAAGCACCTTCAGAGGGGTCAAGGGCAAAAGCAAGATTCAGGGGGGAGAGACCATCCATGATGCAATGGGAAGCTACTTCCTCACCGCCATCAGTCGATGCCAACTCATCGTGACCAGGGCGGAGTGGAACTGCCCTGTGTTTCTGAGACTGTAACTCTTTACAGCAGGGGTTCTCAAACTTTTTAAACAGGGGGCCAGTTCACTGTCCCTCATATCCGTTGGAGGGCTGGACTATAGTTAAAAAAAACACACAACTATGAACAAATTCCTATGCACACTGCACATATCTTATTTTGAAGTCAAAAACAAAATGGGGTAAAAACACCAGGCGGCCTGGATAAATATCTTTGGCGGGCCGCAGTTTGAGGACCCCTGCTTTACAGGATTAGAATGCCTTTCCCAAAGAGCCGCTAGTGGTTTCGAACTGCTGACCTTGTGGTTAGCAGCCAACCAGTTACAATGACGCCACCAGGGCTCCTTACGAAGAGCCACAAGATGGTCACAAATAGGTAAGGTTCCCTAGTGATCTGACCAGAGACCTCTCTGGTCACCATAGAGAGGGTGAGCAGAGGGGTAGACAGGAACTGAGAGCCTGGCAGATAACCGGCTGGGGCAGGGGCAGGGCCAGGTTGTGCCAAGGCAAGAGTGTGATAGGGCGAGGGGATGCCCCCAGGAGCCCTCACTTAGCTTCTGCTGTAGTTCAAGCCTTCAGGCCGCTCCAGGGAAACACGGAGTCCTGGGCGCTGTTCCCGGCACAAAGGACAAAAGAGCGGGCGGGCTCGCTTGTTTGCTCATCCACTGAGCACCTTGGGGACCCGGGGGAGATCATTCCAGAGAGAGAAACAGAGGCTGCACCAACGTTCCAAATACTGTTTACTTTTCTGAAACCCGGAGAGAAGCGAGAAGCAGGCCTGCAGCAGGCGGGACTGAAGACCAAGCCTAGGAGTGCACGTTGACCACAGCGACGTACAGGGCCAGCGTGCTGAGGGCCAGCAGCCCCGTCACCACCGCTCGGGCCAGCAATGCTGTCCAGCTGCCCAGGGAACAGAGGTGGACAAAGGTCCTGCCGAGGAAGAACATCACAATGAGGAACCAGTCGATAACTCGGCCCTGTTCCCCAATCCCCGCGTGAACCCAGCCTCTGGGCCCCTCCAGCTCACTCCATGACAAAGGCCTTGTAGACACTAAGGAGCATGAGGACCACCACGGCCGGTCGGAAACTGTGGTGCAGGTCGTAGCGCGTGATCATCCACACCTGGGCGGAGGCGATGATGTAATGGACCTGCAGGGTGGCAGGGCCAGGAC